CAAACTCCAACTCGCACCCCCCCCCCCCATCAATCCTCCGTTCCTCACTCCGGCAAGACTTACTGCAGCAGAGCCACCATCTCTACTGGTGCTATACCCTATTCCAATCCTACTGTGACCAGCTAGCCCCGTCACTAGTAGGACGCATGATATCCCACCATCTTCTTCTCCCACTCACCTCGTTTCTTTCTTAGGATAGACCGCCGGGTCCTAAAAAAGAAAATCCAAAAATCTCGACCTCCTTACCAAACCATTCCAGAGTTCCTCAAAGTTGTCTTACTCCCTGCCGAGCTCTTCCAGGCCTCACACCCCCACGTCCTGCAGGGTTACAAGGCAACACAACTCGCCCCAGCTCCGACCAGCGTCATCCCAACAGCAAACCTTGGTTGTCCCGTGAGATGCCCACCCCAAAGCATCCCCAGATCTCTCTACCAGGCCTTACGCTCCTGCGTCAACAGGTTACAGGGCAACACCCCAGCACCGGCCAGCGTCGTTCTGGCATCGAACAGCCGCAGATTGCTGAGTATGACAACTTCAAGGCAGCCTGGGAAAAGTTGATAGAAGCCTCATAATCCTAAACGTTCTCAAGTCCCCCATAACGGCCAAACAGGGTACAATCCAGAAAAAAAAAGGGGGGTCAAAACTAGAAATTAATACCAACTATCATAAAATCCCCTCTCAACAAGCGGACCGCCAGTCCCGGCTTTCAGTCCTCGTACCATAACTCACCTGGTCTCATACCCCCCTCTGCTAGAGTAACAGGGCACCACAACCCACCCCAGTACCGACCAACCTAGTTCTGACGGACAGGAAGTGCCTTCCTCCCTCGACAATTCCTTTAGCGGCAAACCCCTAAACAGGTAACATGGTCCATGCCCCGGTGCCCACTACGTTGGACGATTTGGTTATACCTTCCACCCTCGGCATAACTCCATGGACCTCAAGCTCCCTCTGGGTCACAGAGCACAGCTCCAACACCGGTCTATGTCGTCCCAGCATCGTCCTCCTGACCTACTCACCTTAACCGACATCTCCCGTCTGCTGAAAGTCCCCTTTCATTCTTTCCATTCACCGATTCTAGTTTCCCCCCTAGGCAATCAGAAAAGGCACACCACAGTCGTAGATCTTTTCATAGAAAAACAGATTTGCATCATCTTTTTGAGGCGTGAAATTTAGAGATGAGATCACTTAGTAATCAAGGTAATTTTAACTCACGAATTTTGGCATCCAATTCAGAACAAAATTTTGAAAGAAAAACTAAAGAGGGATGTCCTCACAGACTTTTGACTCTGATTTCCAGAACCGTAGTTCAAGAAATCGCTCAGACTGTAAATCAGGAATTAAACTAATTATCATTGAAATCAGAAAATCCCTCAAGCTACAATAGGATCAGAAGAAGAAAATCGCTCAGATCAAATATAGAGAATCCATCGAGCTACAAATAGGATTGGGGAGAAAAAAATCACTAGATCAACTAAGGGTTGGATGTCTTGAAAAATCCAAATAGGAGAAAGCGCAATAGAGAAACAATTATGATGTCCATCTGGACTTTCAACACTGATTTCCCGAACATAGAGTTTAGAAAAACGCTCAGACGGTAGATCAGGAAGATGCGAATCAGAACAACGAAAAAGAAAAAATTGTATGAATAACAAGGATTGCAACGTGAAAAAAATAAACCAATGGCAACACTATTGGATCATCATCATTGGATGAATCGACTTAGAATGATTATGCAAGCAGTACAAAATCAAGAATTTCATAACCAGAAGAAGAAATAAAAGCTACAAGTTCAGCAATACTAGTTGCAAAATCAGACAGATATCAAGACAGACAAACACTGTCTAAGAATCAAGGCCAAACAAAAGAGGAAAAACAACTTTACCCTTGACAACCCTAAATACACCCCCCCTCTCTCCAAACCTCAGCTCCTCGCTTCATCGGTTTCCCAAGCAACTCGGCCGCCTGTGATTGACAACCATTCAACCAACCAATAAGACCGAACGATGATGATAATAGGACCGCAGCTAGGATTGTCGTCGCAGCATACCCAACCACGTCGCAAGAATAAGCCACTGAGCCCGCCAACCGCCCCTCGCAGGTAGCCCGACGAGATGAGGGGGAGTCCACGTTGCGGATGCCATCCTCCCCCTTCTTCCTAGTAGCCCTCTCTCTCCAACCCGTGAAACCCTTCCCTCCCCTATTCTCCCACCCACCGTATTCCTCCTCTCCACTAAGACCTTGATGTGAGATGCTCTMCCCAACGACACCCAGACACACCCTCTCCCATCACCTCCTCACGTGAATCTCACCATCGCAGCGCTCCCGCCGCTCCTCGGTCTTGCTCGTCCTCAAGGCCCGTCGTCGCGTCCGCCCGCCTCCTCCTCGCGTTGATCTTGCCATCGCAGCGCTCCGCCGCTCCTCGTTCCTGCTCTTTTCGCGAGGCCCGCCGTCGCGTCCAAACGCCGGGCGGCGGAGCGCTCCTGGTAGCGCTCCGCGGCCACTCTGACCAGCCCCAAGCAATTCATTAGTAGTTGGTTTTACTTGTCAAGTTCCATCCACTTCTTCCTCCGTCCTATTGGCTTGAACGCTTGCATGACCGGATCGATGTGTGGAGTGAGGCTACATCCCCCACGCCGCGGCCCGGCCATGCAGACGTAGGCACTTCCTTCCTCCTCCTCCTTTTCCACTCACGCACAACCCCGGGTATCTCACGCAAGCATGCATGCTATAAATCTTGCAAGCGCGATTAATTCGCTCTCTAAGAATTTTGGGAGTTAGTGCGATCGAGAGGATCGGCTAACGAGCGAGAGTTGGAAGGTGAGTAGGGAGTTGGGCGATCCGACAAGCTGGTGCTGGGCATGCAGGGTTGACGTGGGGCCGCGACGGACTGTGGCGCACAGGTGAGCCTGGCTTGCATACTCGGACTAAGCGGGGGGGCAACTCTATGTGGGACCTGTGGGTGCGAGGCGACGGACTGCCTGTATCGAGATGTTGTGAAGAGAGAGAGAGAGAGAGAGAGAGAGAGAGAGAGAGAGAGAGAGAGAGAGAGAGAGAGAGAGAGAGAGACGGGATGTGTTGTGGTGATGTTCCTCTTCCATCCTTCTAAGCAGTTTTGGTATTCGGCGCCAGTCGTCGTTGTCCGTTTTGGATCGACGTCTCGGATTTTTCCCTTGTTTTCTTTCCTCGGAGACTGATGTGTGGATTGTCTTCCCCCAATCCCCTTCTCTGTTTTTTTTTTAAATCGGCAAATCTGATTGATTGGTTACTAGCAATCGAGCCTTGTGTGACCTCTGGGCTGATTGCTCAAAGAATTGTGCATAAGGATCCTCGATTCCTTATGTTTGTATGCAAGCTAGATGCATGGATGTTAGGTGTGATTCTATCTGTGTATGAATTAGAAAAGCATGCTAGACGATTAGATGACAGTCTCACTATAGGATGACCCATCTCGCGAACCGCTGGCTTTCACCCATCTGATCGAAGGACAAGTCCCGTGCACGCACGTGTAGGCTCGACCAAAGACGATCGTTGCCTACACGCGCATCTGCGAAACCTGAACTCAACCAATTTCCCGAATGGCTGGTTTTCCACCCCGACTTGCAGCATGAATTTTGGCATTCCCTTTCGTATCACTGACCGCGAGTGCCTGAGGGATCCGGAATTCCAGGACTATTGGGAGCACTCTTGTTCGTCTGCATGACCCAGGACGGAACCTCCGGAATTTCCCGACTTGACGGGGAACGAACGTATTTGCGAGTGGGACCTCGACCAGGCCTTGGGACATATCCCCCATCTCCCCAGCAACTCTAGCCCATACACGTGTCACGTCGTCACGGAGCCCGGGATCATTATCTTGGGGACCGAATTCCCCCCCTATCACTGCATCCTACCCTATCACTCCCTAACCATCGTCCCCTGGCTCGCAATCGCTCCTTACTGGCCCCAACCCCCGTGCTCGGAATGTCTGCAACACCACGAGTACCGAGCCTCCGGCTTCATCCGGCAAACTCGCTCGGAGAAAGAACAATGGACGCACAGCCTTCGATTGAGGTCGGCCGCGTCAGATTCGGAGATTTACGACGTTCCACATCGGCAGGTGACGAGCCAGTGGGATAGCCATAGCGTCCCGACGGTGCACCAGATACGACCCCGGCCCGGACGACGAAACCAACGGAGGCGGTGGCTCTGTTTCCCGAAGCACAAAACAGGACTCCAGTCTACGCCTACTCTCCTGCATTCGTATCCCGGAGTTTGCCACTGGAGATCTCAGTTCCGAACTGGGACTCTGCCCCCACTTTCCTAAAATCCTTGGCACACCCCTTTTCCCACTTCCAGGCCCACTCACACTCCGATCAGGAAGTCGCGTCGAGCGCGAGGTTGGGCGTCACACAGGGGGGTGAAATCGACCGAAAAAAAGAAAAAACATGGGCAGGTGCACAGCGCCACCGTGCTTCGTTTGGGGCAAACTTCATTTTTCGAATTTTTTTGGGTGGTAGGATGTGGGGCCGCATACATGCCTCGGTCGGGAGTCACAAGCATTTTGAAGCCCCATACGTACCGACCAACTTCATCCTCATCCCTCCCTTACCATCTTCAAGTCACCCGACCTAGCCCTTCCACCTGCCCTACACTCTCCCTCCCCCTCTCACCTCCTCCCATTCCCTCCCTCCCTTCGCCTTTTCCCTTTCCGTTCCCCTGCCATACTTCGTTCCAAGGATTTCCAGTATTCCCCCCCTCTGGATTCATCAGCCACTCTCCCCACATCTTATGCAACCTGAGGATATGCTGGCCTACCAGTAGTACGAAACTCTACCAGGACGGTACAATGGGAAAAGCTCGAAGGATGGGTTGGCAAGAATCATGGGGAAATGGGATCACGATTCGAAGATTGAGGCACCTCTTACATCGAAATGGGTGGCCGGGGCAGGGAGGCGACTCGTGGGATTGGTATCCCATTGTTTGTAGGCAGACTGAATGGGTGAAAAAGTACACGAGTGGGCAGACCGACTGGATGAAAAAGTATAAGAGTGGGGAGACTGAATGGATTCTTTTCCCCCTGCCCTACACTTTCTGCCCAAAATGTATGCCACAAAATTCAAACTTGGAACCAGTGCTTAAACCACCAGTACTTCCTAGAGTCGTGCCCATTAACGCTACGCGATTTTAGGAAACGTACGGGCCACTACAGGAGCGCCCAAATCCATCCAACTAGAAACGTTTCTACTCTATTTTTTTCCGCGGCCGATAGCTGTGCCAAGTACTGGTGGTTTAAGCTAGAGAGCTCCCTGGAAGCGGAAAGGATATGGAGCCAGGATTCAATCGTAAGGTCCTGTTTTTTTCGTTTTGTTCAAAGAAAACATGATCAATGCACGCCGCAGCAGTGTCGCAGGAGGAGGAAGATGAGATCCACACGTGTGTTTATGTTTGTTTGTATCTGCAATTTCTCCTGTTCGCAGCATGGAAGGAAGGCTAAAAAATGAATGCAAATGAGTGGGTGATTACATGTGTCCACGGAGCAGTGCCCCATGTGGCACCATGCGATACAGTCTGGGCAGTGTGTGGCCTTGTGGGCAAGTAGCACCCTGTGAGGTGGGCCATAATATGGCGATCGGATGGTACTGACACACGCTTTGTGGGCAAGCTGTGGACCGGATGGTACTAACACACACAATGCAACCCCAAAAGAAAAGGAACACATACACAGCCACAGAAACAAATCAAAAAAAGTGTATATATATATAGATATATATACACATAAAACTTGAAACAAGAATGGCCAACACGAGGGACAAGTCGGCCCTTGCCACAGCAGCCTGAGAGGTATTATGTGACCTGGTTGATGCTGTGCAGACCAGGTCATACCACATGAGGCAGGTGACAGCATATGAGGGGATCGGGTGGTGCCATGTGGGATGTGGGTTAATAGTACGTCGGGCAGATCATATTATTTGGACTGGGTGTCAGTACGGGCCACGTTGGTATTGCGTGCAGCGGGCCTCTATTCACCCTACCCTATAGCCAGGGCTATTTCGCTCTTTGTCTGGTGAGCCTGTGGGACCAGGCCGTTGGCCTGCTCTCCACAGGCCGTGTGTCTATGCAGTCCAGTCCAGTCTAGACTGGTACGACCGTCGGTACCAGTCCAGTCCAGTCTGGTACCACCATCAGTACCAGTCCAGTCCACTCCGGTACCACCGTCGATACCAGTCCAGTCCAGTCCAGTCAGTCCGCTGGGGGTGTACCCCAGCTGCAGTCTGTATTCCGGAGCATTCATCATTTGCACAGCTTTGGAGCACGTGTGTGTTGAGTCTACGGAGGAACTGCTTCTCTCCGTTCAGCCATCTCCACCCCCCACCTCATCTCTCCCTTCTCCACAGCGACGGGACCGCCAGCACAGCTGTCCAGTAACAATGTGGACCCTGTCACCCTATGCAGGGCGGGCCGTACTATGTGGGCTGGGTAGTACCATGTGGCTCAGGTCAACCTATGTGGGGCAGGCTATACTATGTGGACTGGGCAGTACCATGTGGCCCAGGTCACCCTTTGCAGGGTGGGCCATACTATGTGGACTGGGTGTACCATGTGGCTCAGGTCACCCTATGTGGGGCAAGCCATACTATGTGGGCTGGGCAGTACCATGTGGCCCAGGCCACACTATGTGGTATGGGCCATACTATATGGACTGAGCAGTGCCATGTGGCCCAGGTCACCCTTTGTGGGGCGGGCCATACTGTGGACTGGGCAGTACCATGTGGCCCCTAGGGTGATACAATGGGGAACAGGTCACACTATGTGGACTGGATGACACCATGAAGGGTGGGCGGTACAGTGCAGGGCAGGTGGGCGATGCCACACGGGCTTGTGGTACAAACAGCCTCCCCACCCCCCAAAGAAAACACACACACAACCCCAAAAAGGAAACAGAAAACCCAAAAAAACAGAGCTTGTGTGGCTGAAGGGTACAGTCATCAACCATTCATAGGTGCACCTATGGTCGCCCAGTTTCGAGTTCGCGAGTCTGTTGCTAACAGTAGGCTGTCTTTTCCATCCAAACCCGGCACTACTCAACATTCCCGATACATTGAACTCTTTTCTAGCCCGGCTCCCCTGGCTGCTTGCCATAGCCAGGTAGGTCAGACCATAGTTGTAGGTACCAGGGCTAAGCAAGAATCCCCTTCCGTGCAAAATGGCAATATAACTTGGAGCCTCCACATAATGGGTGTGAACATAAAGCTGGCAAAGCCCAAACCACAGCAATGGCATACCATGACAATTTTTTCTGCTCTCAATGTTTCTCAGCCAAATCGCATTCCTTAATCGGACCGAAAGGCACTATCTAATCACCGAACACTTGTATGTCTCTGTGTACCCCTTCCTCTTGAACTGCCCAGCAGGAATGAAACCAAGGCAGCACATATTTCTCGATCGCTCACTGTCCGCTGTGAGCAGCTGGCAGACACCCACTCCACCAAGTGCGCTAAGAAAATATAACACCCCTTCCTTTCCCACCCCAAAAAAGCCAGAGAACTGCATCCTAACATCAGGAACTGCTCAGGCAGCTAAGTGAGAAGATCCGCAGGAATGCAGCCACATCATCCTCCTCTTCTCCCTCATTCGCTCTCTGCTGAGGACAGCAGACATCTAATAGCGCAAATACCCTTGAATCTACCTTCCCGCCATGACCCTCAAAGAAAACAGAAAAGCCAAAAAAAAAAAAAAACAGTGTGATGTAAAAACTGGGTCTTTCTGCATCCTCTGCTCTTTCCTTCACTGTCTCAAGGAAACAGCAAACCTACCGTCTTCCCCCGAACATAATGCATCTGCGTCATATTCGAGTTTCCAAAACAATCGAGAAAATTTGAACAGAACCCATGCGCGTTGTATTTGAAAAATAAGGTGGTCTGTTCTAATAGAGCACACACGAGTTGTATTCGAACAGAAAGCAACCTATGCGTTGTGCTTGTTTACAACATAGATGCGTTATGCTCGGGGGAAGACGGCACTCGCCGCCCCTCATCTCTTTCATTCGCTCTATCATGGGAACCGCAAGCCTACTCTCCCCAGAAGTGTGGAAGTACCAGACCGAGAACTTACCTCCCCGTGCCCGTCAGAGAAAATAGAAATCTGACTGGAGAAGCACACCTACTCTCTCTCCAGGAAGTACTGGACGGAGACCTTACCTCCCTCCCCCATACAGTTCCGTGAAAATAGAAAAGGAAGAAAAGTGCAATCCAAACGTGTAAGCAATGGGTCTTTCTACCACAGCTCATGAGGGCCTAACTGGGTGGGCTAAGACGAGCAGATCGCTCCCTATGATCCCTTCTGTTCCAGACCCGGTCCAGACCCCCTTCTGCTCGTCAAGAGAGATCCAAACTTGTTTGCCACTGGTGTGGCATTCATGACATCCCACACAACTGCATTTCCCTTGGCCCCACCGGCGACAAGCAGAGAAGGATTGTCCTTGCAGAAGACGGCAGAAAAGACGGCGCCAACCTTGAGGTCTGTGGATGCCAGGCAATTCGGCCTGTGGTCGGAGACATCCCACAGTTTCACCATCTTGTCTGTGGAAGCTGTGGCCAACAGATTGGGAGCAATCGGGTTGAACGAGACGGAGCACGCCGGCTTGTCATGCGCAGACAGAGTGTAGAGAGGCATCCCTGCCCCTCCTAACTGTGGCTGCTGGGGATTCCCTCCAGTGGTCTGGACTGTCCGGACGTCGAAACACTTCAGCAACCCGTCCTCTGTGCTAACGATAAACTGCAAAGGAGAATGAGGATTCCAGGCAATGCACTCCACATCAGCGGTCAGGCTCCATGTGATAGGACTGTGATTGCCAGATCGCATGTCCACTAGTGCTGCCGTCTTGTCGAAGGACCCAGTCAACAGCACACTTGACTGCGCCGGATTCCAAGACACAGCCTGCACCTTCCCACAATGATGAGAAAGAGTCGTATCACATTTCTGAGTAGTTATGTCCCATACCTTCACGGTGTTGTCAGCCGATCCGCTCGCCAACACGTTCCGCAGCTCATAGTTCCATGACAGCCCCAGGACTGCATCTGTGTGACTTCCTTCCTTCAAAGCTGGCGCCCGTTTGCTCCTGTTTCTTCGTCTCGATTCACCGCCCTCCCTCCTCGGCCCGCCACCGTTGTCGGTCACGACTGCCGTCTCCTGTGCGCTGCTGCTGCTGCTGCTTCTTCCTTCCACCGAACCGCCCAAACTGGCCACTGGTTCGACATCATCCAACACATCCAGGTCCCAGATTTCGATTTCGGGTGTCATTGTCCCAACTGCAACCAGGTTACTTTTTGGCACAGTTCCATGTTTTGTTGGGTGCAAGTCCAGCCAAGCCAAGCAAAGGGGAAACGCCGAAAGCATGATGTCGTGATGAACATACATGTTTCCTGCTGCTTCTGCATCGTCGCTATCATCATAAACCCAGACCTCAATGTGACTGACATCATCTTCATTTCTTGAAGCGAGGAATAACAGATCAGAGGCCCGAACTGTGAAGTCTTCGATCTCTTCATCTTCATCAACATCATCTCCTTTCAAGGTGATATATTCATCCGGGCCCGCATAAACATTACCGAGACCCCCATTGCCAAACAGATTCACAGAACCATTGTCATCTTCCTCGTCATATTTGTCCATATCCAATTCTGCCAACTCATCATCCACATCCGCCTTCTTTGCATTGCACTTTTTCTCCCTCCCCAAGGAGGCAGCAATAGCCCGCGCGCGTGCAACTTCAGCAGCCTCCCGCTCCGCCTCCGTTTGACCATCGCCATCTTCACCTTCGCTTAGCATCTCCGCATCTCCGTCGTCATCTTCGTCATCACTCGGTTCGCTTTCGCTGCCATTGCCGTCAAGCGTCCCTACATCAGCTGCGAGTCTAGACGCATGCTCACGCATGGCTGCTAGCTCCTCTTCAGTCGGGTCGGCTTGCTTTGGCATGGGCTTCGCAGCGCCTCGTGGCACCCAGCAAAGTGACGAAATCATTTTGATCTGTTCACGGGTAAGCTAACCAACAACTACCTGCAAAACAGCAAGCGCTGCCAATAAAAGAGGATCAAACACAGACAAAATCAGATAAGCGACTCTCTACCGAAGTCACAAAGTAACAAAGCCCATACGAACAGGGGGGGGACAGAGACACAGAAACGGAGACAGAGACAGAGACACCGGGGCAGAGACAGAGACACAGAAACAGAGACACAGAGACAGAGACAGACACAGAGACACAGAGACAGACACAGACACAGACACAGACACAGACACAGACACAGACACAGACACAGACACAGACACAAACAGAGACAGAGACAGAGACAGAGACAGAGACAGAGACAGAGGCAGAGACAGAGACAGAAGCACCGAATCGAGCTATGCCTGCACACACTGAGAAATCATCTCCAATTTCTCAGGTAGCAGCAAGGTCACACTTGCCTGAATTAGGGGGGGGGGGAGAGAGAGAGAGAGAGAGAGAGAGAGAGAGA